AGGGTACCCTGCAAACACCCCCGCCCCGAAGCCCTAAAAGCCCTGAAAGACCAATGCTCGGGAGCGCCTGGGCTACACCCCAAACCCTAAACCCTAAACCCTAAACCCTAAGCCCTAAGCCCTAAACCCTAAACCCTAAACCCTAAACCCTAAACCCTAAACCATAAACCCTAAACCCTAAACCCTAAACCCTAAACCCCAGACCCCAGACCCCAAACCCTCCCTTCGCCTGGTGGGAAGCAGGGCCTTCGAGTAGGGGGTGGCGCCACCTGGAAGAGGGAAAATATGAAAGGGGCTTTGGGGGGTTTAGGGTGTAGGGTTTGGGGTTTGGGGTTTGGTTTGAGGGCTTATTGTGTGGGCCTTTAAGGTGTCAGGGTTCATGGTTTGGCTTTAGGGTCTAGGGTTTACATAGGGGCTCAAAGGTTTCCGGATTTTCGGGGTTCAGGCGTTGAGGGCTTTAGGTTCCAAGGCTTAAGACGCTCCTTAGCTTAGGGGCTTTAGGGGCTTTAGGGGCTTTAAAGCCTCTAAAGGCTTTAGAGGCTTTAGAGGCTTTAGAGGCTTTAGAGGCTTTAGAGGCTTTAGAGGCTTTAGAGGCTTTAGAGGCTTTAGAGGCTTTAGAGGCTTTGGGGACTCAGCGATTCTCGGGCTTAGCCAGCCGCAAGCCTCGTTTCTTGCGCAGAGGCTTGCAAACTCCCAAACTTGATAGGGTTTTAGGGTTTAGGGTTTAGGGTTTAGGGCTTAGGGTTCAGGGTTCAGGGTTTAGGGTTCCCTGACCTAGAGACACGGGAAAACCCAAAACAGCTCTGACAGAACCCTCGTTTAGGGTTTAGGGTTTACGGTTTTGGGTTGTGCCCTGCACTCTAAACCCGCCCCACCTGGTTGGGCATCAGGATCTTGCTCAGAACCAGGTCCGGCACCGTGTTGGGCGAATCTCGGATGCAAGGCACGGGCAGAGTCTACCCAGGCCCCTCAGCCCTAAACCCCTAAACCTCCTCAACCCCAAAACAACCCTAAACCCTACACCCTACACCCTACACCCTAAACCCTAAACCCTAAACCCTAAACCCTAAACCCTAAACCCTAAACCCTAAACCCAACCCAGCCCAAGGAGGGAGCCCACCCCTTCCGAAACCATGACGCCCAAAATCCCAAACCCTAAAAACCATGCGGCTTAGGGTCTAGGCTTTAGGGTTTGTAGGACTTAGGGTTTGTAGGGTTTGTAGGGTTTATAGGGTTTATAGGGTTTATAGGGTTTATACGGTTTATAGGGTTTATAGGGTTTATAGGGTTTATAGGGCTTATAGGGTTTATGGGGTTTTATAGGGTTTGCAGGGTTTATGGGGTTTATAGGGCTTATGGGGTTTTATAGGGTTTGCAGGGTTTATGGGGTTTATAGGGTTTATAGGGTTTATAGGGTTTATAGGCTTTATAGGGTTTGTAGAGTTTGTAGGGGTTATAGGGTTCATAGGGTTTATAGGGTTTATAATTAGGGTTTATAGGGCTCATAGGGCTTATCGGGCTTATAGGGTTCAAGGGTTCAACCCTACACCCTCCTCAAAGCCATATCTGCGCTAAGCCCAGATTCTCCGTTGCACCGGGGCGTTCTGCTGCACCAGGCCAACAACGTTGCCATCCACCTGCTAGTTTAGGGTTTAGGGTTTAGGGGTTTAGGGTTTCGGGGTTTAGGTCTGGGGAGTTAAGGGTTTATGGATTTAGAGTTTAGGGATTTAAGGTTTGGGGGGTTTAGGGTTTAGGGGTTTGTGGGTTTGGGGTTTAGGGATTACGGGTTTAGGGCTAGCGGGTTCTCAGTATGTAGTTTGGGAAATACGTGTTCAATATGATTGTAGAGATGCAGCTGCAAAAAGCCTCCACGAGAGCAGCAGGGTTCAGAGTCTCGGGTATGGGGGAAAAACAGCGAAAGTTCTTCAAGCTCTGATACGCGTACTGCCTCCATGCCCTAAACCTTAAGCCCCGTAACCCGGGGTTTAGGGTTTAGGGTTTAGGGAGCCTTCATACCCTAAGTGCAATACCTGTGAGCGCCGTCGTCGCCCTCGGCCAGCAGGTCGGCCAACTTTCCATCACGCAGGCATTCAAGCAGGATCTTGTTGATCTCCGCCTGCCTCGCGCCCGTTTGGGACAGCATATAATGCTCCTTGCCGCGAGCAAAAGGCACAGGCTCGTGATGTAGTTGAGGACGGAAGTTCCTCTGTCTCCGGACTGTTTAACCATATTCCGTACAATAGCCGCGTGGATCAATCGGAACAAACAGGCGTTGATGCTCCACATGCCTCAGTGGATGATACTTAATCGCATGGGGTAGATTACTCCCTAAGGCCCGAACCACCAAAGTCTACTTATTGTAACCTACTTAGAGGGCTTAAGGGGCTTATATGGGTGGTTGGCAAAATTCTGGTCCCTTCTGGATCCCTGCTATGATACGGCACCGAATATAGGGCACCAAAGAAGGGATCATAGTTTTTGACAACCACCCATATAAGTACAGCTAAAACTGGGGTTACAACTGCCCTGAACCTCCAAGTATAGACACCGAACTCCTACCCTCCCCTCAAGGGGACCCCCAACGCAGCTTTCGGGGCTGCATCGGAAGAAGGCGCAAGTATACTAGACCCAAGAGAAACCTAGGAATAAGAAGGGGTGGCCTTGTTGGTTTAAGGAGGCTCATAAGGGAGCCGAACCCCTAACGAGTGTACTAGACCCAACAGGAACCCTAGGAATTTTGAAGGGTGGCCTGATTGATTTAAGGAGGCTTCTAAGGGAGCCTGTTAACCCTGACAAAAACGGGACTAAGGGCCTGCTCTGGGTCCTGGTATACCTGGGACTCTATTTACCTACAGTTTAATAGCAACTACCCTGAAATAGCAGGTAGAACCCATAAAACTGTCGGTAAAGAGGGTGCCAGGTAGGGCTTCAGCCCCGCAGCTGAACAAGACATGGGAGCGGCAGGCGAGACCCTAAGCCCCAAACCCTAAACCCTGTAGGTCCTAGAGTCCTGAGCCCTAAACCCTAAACCCCAAACCCTGAACCCTAAACCCTAAACCCCAAAGTCTTTCCGGCCATCAGCGGTGATGTGAGCCTCCTCGTCGTGTGAAGGGCCCTGACTTCCAAGCCCGGTACCCCAAACCCTTACCCCCCGGGGCCCCGAACCCTAAACGCCTAAGGAAGCCTAAAGGGAAGACTCTTAGTAACCCTAAACCCTAAACCCTAAACCCTAAACCCTAAACTCTAAACCCTAAACCCTAAACCCTAAACCCTAAACCGGCTGAATTGGCTCACTGCTTCCGGCCTTGATCATGGTGGGCAGAATCGGGCCCTGGCAACCGGTCAGGGTTTTGTACCCTTGGGTTTGGGTACCCTCTCTTAAGATCCTCTAAGGGAATATGAGGACGGCTCCACCTGCACTTCTAATTAGGGTTTAGGGATTTAGGGTATTAAGGGCTTCCGAAATTTGGGGTACCTTATCAAGGTCCTTACTATAAGGGGCTCCTACGATTTGGGGATCTATAGTCTATACTGAACTTGGAACCCTAGCAAAAATTATCATTTTAGCTGTTTCTTAGAAATTAAAGTGCCCAAAAATCAAAAATTATTTCCAAGTATCCCTAAGTATTGGGGGCATCTGTTCGAACCCCATATACAAGGGAACCCCTGAGGGGCATATCCAGTGAGGCTTGGGGTTGAGGCAGTCGCCCTAACCCATTGAAACTGAAGGGACGCGAGCACGTGCCCCTGACTAGCTCAAACTGCAGAAGCCCTAAACCCTAAAATCCTCCACCCTAAGCCCTACACCCGCCGGCGTGAGGGCCCCGAATGTTTCGTGGGGCTGTCGCCTCCATATGTTGGCCTATCTGGAGGCTCTCATGCAACATTGCGCCTCCCCCGCGGAGGATCAAGAACGGTCAGGGCCGCCCGGGGGGGCGGCACTCAAGGAGAGGAGGCGGGGTCGTAACCGCAATCAAGACCCATTTTTTTAACCACAACAAGGAATCACTTAACCATGATAAGGATTTGTGCCTCAGTGCATGATAGCCACAATGCCTGCGACCCTTCAACTACCCACAGAGATGAAATGCAATGAACTTCTTTTGGACATTATTTCGTTTATAAATTCGCTATCTTATTCTCTCGCACACATAATAATAATATAGTAAGCATTAATGGGGCTATTAATATAATAATAAAATGCCCCATTATTAGTAGTATTAATAGTGCTTACTTTCTCCCTTGTAATATAGTACATTTGTAGGACCAATTATAATTCACTTATCCTTTATCTGGGCGAGTGAATAATAGAATTACTGTGCTCGCTTGGTCAGTAAACTCACTACTTTTAATTGTATTCGCCCGGCTATTTAATAAGAAGAGAAAAAGATATGGAATTTCTACATTAAAGAGATGAACGAAGTGAAGAGCGCAATAAAATACACTAATTTCCTAATTTTGGAGGATTCACTTCGTTCATTATAATATTATCCCGTGAGAATAGAATAATTACCAAGAATTACCCAGACTCACTTCGTGCATTTAATCTACATTTTAATCAGCTTTTCTTATTCCCTTAGAAATCCTATTGTAATTTATTATTAATGGTTTTCCAAGGGCTTATTATTAGAATGAAGGTTGTAAGAAGAGAATTACATGCACGAAGTAAAGATATTAATGTAGTGAATTTAATGTACGCACTAACCGTGTATTCACGCCCCTTTGGTGATTTGGGCCTCCCAAATCTCCAAAACCAGGGTCTTTCTGTAAGCTGGAGTGACAAAAAAAGGCCTGAGAATTGCGGTTTTGGGCCTCCCAAAGCTCCAAAACCACTATCATTGTTAACCACGATCATGCCAACCCTAAACCACTATCGTGAAACCACTATCATGCCAACCCTAAACCACTATCGTGAAACCACTATCATGCCAACCCTAAACCGCTATCATTGTTAAAGAAGCCCTGTCATTGTAAAAGCTTTTTTTTCATGGTTAGAACCCCTACTCCAAGGAGAGGATGCGCTGGCGCTGTACAATGAAGATGAGCAGCGCGGCTTCTGCAAGGTAACTGCGAACCCGCACCTCGAAGCGAGCCAAGAAGAAAGTCTTACACTGGCTGCCGCGGCACATTCTGCCAGGAGTGGTTCTCATACAAACCGGCCAGAAGGGACTTGGGGTTGACTTCGAAGCCCAGAAAAAGAATTAACCTCGACCATCCAAACCTGAATCCTAGCCCTAAACCCTGAACCCTACACCCTGGCCCTGAACCCCCAAACCACCAAGCACTGAACCCCAAACCCCGAATTCTAAACCCCAAACCCACCCGCAGCATCTGGGATGGTCTAGCCGTTAGGGGTTGGACCACGCGCCCTGGACCCTAAACGTAGACCTTCGAGGTTCGTCGGGACGTAGGGTTTAGGGTTTAGGGCTTAGGGTCCCAGTTCAGCAGTGGGGGTTTCGGGCTTAGGGGTTCAGAATGACAGGCCTGGAAAGCTTACAAGGCTCTGGAAACTGTGTTTCGGTAGGCTAAAAGGAGGGTTGATAAACCCTAAACCCGAACCCTCAACCCAAACCCTAAACCCCAAACCCTAAACCCAAGAGGGTGGTATCCTCATGACTCAAGATAGCACGGACGCACCATGAGTCCACGTGCGTGCGATCTGGGGCTTAGTGCTTTATCCTAACATGATGAACCCTGGATCCCGAAGCAAACTAGGGTTTAGGGTTCAGGGTTCAGCGTTTAGGGTTAAGGGTTAAGGGTTTAGGGTTTAGGGTTCAAGGTTTAGGGTTCTCAAGGTTCAAGGTTTAGGGGTTCGGGGATACGGTTTAGGGTCGTAGACTCAGCCCTAAACCCCCAAAACCCCTAAACCCCAAAATCCGAAATCCCAAGCGCCGGCTGCCTGACTCCTGACGATCTCGTCTTTGTCCTGCATGACGATGCCCATGACCTGAGTCATGAGCCCCTCTTTAGCTCATCATTCAGGCTTAGGGGTTAGGGTTTAGGGCTTAGAGTTTGGGGTATAGGGTTTAGGGGGGTTTAGGGCTTTTAGGATTTTTGGTGCTTTTGGTGCTTCTGGGGGGGGAAGGGTTGGAAGGGTTGAGGGGTTTTTGTTGTAGGTTTTATCGGGGGGAAGTGAAGGGTTGAAAGGTTTTCGGCTTAGGGTGTAGGGGTTTACCTGGAGGTTCAGGGCACTTAGTACCCATTGAAAGTGTAGCCAACACCCGCAAAAATCCCTAGAAGTACAGTTAAAAGTGGGTTACTAGGTACCATGAACCTCCAAGTAGTGTTTAGAGGTTTAGGGTTCAGGGTGTAAGGGCTTGGGCTTCAAGGCTTAGGGTACAGGGCTTTCGGTTGTTTTGGCGGCTTTTGCTTTTTTGTAAGGTTGAGGGCGTTTGGGCTTTGCCTTTTTTGGGGGGGAGGTCGTAGATAGGCTTTTGGTTTTTCAGAGGTTTCAAAAAGTTTCAAGGGTTGAGGGGTCGCAGGGCTCACACTTGAGCCTAATCCCCAAACCTAGGCCCTAAAAACCCTGAACCCTAGTTCAGCCCTAACCCCCTAAACCCCGCAACCGATGAGCCGCTGAACCCTTAACCCTAAACCCTAAGCCCCAAACCCGAAACCCCAAACCCGAATCCCCAAACCCTAAACACGAACCACCCGTGCCCGAAGGCGCACCAAGGAAAACAAACCCTAAACCCTTAATCCTAAACCCTAAACCCAGAATCCTAAGCCCCAAACCTTAAACCCGAACCACCCCAAGGCGCACCAAGGAAAACGAAGCCGTACAAGATCTCCCAAACCCGAACCCCTAACCCCTAAACCCTAAAACCCTAAACGATCTAGCTGCAACCTTGCGGCTTGCTTGGCCCACTGTTCGACACCTTGGGCTTGTTCAGGCTTTGGGTTTAGGGCTTTAGGGCTGTATTTCGGGCTTTAGGGGTTTAGGGCTCCCTAAACCCTAAACCCTAAACCCTAAACCCTAAACCCCAAACCCTAAACCCTAAACCCTAAACCCTTCTCGACACCTTGGGCTGATTAGGGTTTGGGTTGTGGGCTTATGGGTCTTTAGGCGTTTCGGGGTGGAGGGCTTTAGGGCTTTGCTATGGGTTTTGGGGGGGGGGGGTTCGGGCCTAGGCTTTCGGGCTTCATTCGTGTCTTAAGGGCGTATTGGGGTTTAGGGCCTTAGGGCTTTAGTGCTTGGGGCCCAGGGGGTTTCGGGCTTATTGGGTTCGGGCTGTAGGGTGTTAGGGTGTTCGGGCTCTAGGGCTCTGGGGCCATTGCAGGGATCTGTGGGTTCCTTGTGCAACGTTCAGGGTTTTCAGGGTTTAGGGCGCAACTGCCCGTGTCATCCTCTGAAAACTCGACTGTCAGGAAACGTATACACCCCCTAAACCCTAAAGACTAGGCCCCACCATTACTCTCCCAAAAACCCTCCCGGCATGGAGCGCTATATCCCAAACCCTAAACCCCAAAACCCAAACCTCAACTAGGGTTTAAGGTTTCGGCTACGAAAGAGCTTAAACCTTAACTTTTGGCGGTTGTTGGCTTTAGGGCTGACAGGTGAGTCCCAAAACCCTAAACTCCGAACCTGCCCTAAGCCTAAAGCTTTCGGTTCAGGCCTAAACCAGGGTTTAGGTGTTGGGGTTTAGGGTTTAGGGTTTCAAGTTTAGGGTGCACCCCCTAAACCCCCAAAGGCCCCCCCCCCCACTCCCCCACCCCCGAATAAGGAGCTAACAAAAACAATTACGCAACTAGTCCAGGGATCCATCTTGCAGTGCCACGCCCACCTGACGGTTCCCAGGAGGCCAGGGGCTCTTCTGGCTTTAGGAGGTTTAGGGTTTAGGAATTTAGGGCTTAGAGCTTCGGGCTTAGGGCTTAGGGCTTAGGGTTTAGGGTTTAGGGTTTAGGGTTTAGGGTTTTTCAGGGCTTGCGGGTTTTTTGGCTTTCGGGCTTGTAGGGAAGTTTCGAGAAGCTTGGGGCGCTTTAGGGTTCAGGGTTGGTTTTAGGGTTTAGGGTTTTTAGGGGTTTCGGGTTTAGGGGGTGTGGATCTTGGGGTTCAGGTCGCAGTGGCTTAGAGCTCACGAACCCGAAACCCCTCCAAACCCGCACGCTAAACCCGAAACCCCAAACCCAAGCCCTAAACCCCAAACCCCAAACCCTAAACCCTAAACCCTAAACCCCACACACTAAACCCGCCTAACCCCACACCCCAAACCCTAAACCCTAAGCCCCCAAACCCTAAGCCCTACAACCCTCAACAAACCCAAACCCTAAACCCCAAGCCCTAAACCCCAAACCCCAAAACCCTAAACTCCTAACTCCTACAACCCTAACCCCTAAACCCCAAACCCTAAGCCCTAAACCCCAAACCCCAAACCCCACCCCGGCCTCCTGCGCTTGCCCCAGATGTCGGGCAAAGCGGTCGATCCACTTTGGAAAGCCCTCCTGCGGGAACCAGGATGTTTAGGGTTCAGGGTTGAGGCTGCAGGTTTGGAGTGTGGGGTTTGTAGCCCTAAACCCTAAACCCTAAACCCTAAACCCTAAACCCTAAACCCTAAGCCCTAAGCCCTAAGCCCTAAGCCCTAAGCCCTAAGCCCTAAGCCCTAAGCCCTAAGCCCTAAGCCCTAAGCCCTAAGCCCTAAGCCCTAAACCTAAACCCTAGGGATTAGGGCTTAGGGTTTGGGGCTCGCCTTGCTGGATGCTTGCAGGCTGGTGGATAGCGGATGGGGGCTTTCAGGCGTCAGGGCCATGAGAAGTAAGCATTTTCGGGTTTAGGGTTTAGGGTTTAGGGTTTAGGGTTTAGGGTTTAGGGTTTAGGGTTTAGGGTTTAGGGTTGAGGTTTAGGGTTTAGGGTTTAGGGTTTAGGGGAACCGCAATCCTACCTGAACCCGAAACAGCCCAGAAGCAGAGGCTCAAAAACCCCCACAAGCCCAACAAGCTCCATGAACCCCATAGGCCCTGTAAGCCCTACTAACCGTTTCACCCTCAACCCGAAACCCCAAACCCAAGAGCTCCCCGACGCCCAAACGTCTGCAGAAGTCGGCCGCGAACAGGCAGCAGTTGTGGCTGAACATGTCCTTGTGGGTGGGGTTTAGGGCTTAGGGCTTCGGGCTCAGGGCTCAGGGCTTAGGGCTTTTTAGGCTTTAGGGCTTGGGGGCGAGGGCCTAGGGCCTGGGGTTTGGGGTGTGGGTTTAAGGTTGCTATAGGGTCCTGCTTAAGGAGGGCAGGGGAATCTAGGGAGGGGGGGGGGGGGGTAAAGGCAACCCAGTGTCCGAAATGCACCAAGATGCCCTAGACACTCAAGGCACAAAAACAAAACACCCAAAAACCCTAAACACCCAAATCTCGAAGCTTCCCTGAGCTTCCCTACGCCTATGTTCTCTACGCCCTAGACATGCCTGTCACCCCCATCCACAGCACGCACGACCCAGTCGAAATGTGTTCTCTTTGCTGCAGGTTGCAGCGCCCAGCCAAGGGTTTAGGGTTAAGGGTTACGGGTTCAAGGTTAAGGGTTTAGGGTTTAGGGTTTAGGCTTCGGGTTTAGGGTTTAGGGTTTAGGGTTTAGGGTTTAGGGTTTAGGGTTTAGGGTTTAGGGTTTAGGGTTTAGGGTTTAGGGTTTAGGGTTTAGGGTTTAGGGCTTTGAGACACCGGGCTCCAAGGGCATGTTGCAAGCAGAGCTGCATAGTCGTCGCCTTTCCAGACTTGCAGGAGGTCTTGCAGAACGGAAGCCACCTGTTCGGGGTTTTGGGTTTAGGGCTTAGGGTTTAGGGTTTAGGGTTTAGGGCTTAGGGTTTAGGGTTTAGGGTTTAGGGCTTTTGAGAGCGTACGGGTTCGGCTGCTTCGGGCTTTTGGGAGCCTGAGCGTATAAGCTTTTTCGGTGCTAAAGCCCTAAAGCCCCTAAAGCCTTTAGAGCCCTAAATCCTCAACCCCTAACAGCCTAAACTCCCCTGAAAAACCCTAAGCCTTTGGAGCTTGCGGCCTTGGGAGTTTGTCTTTTAGAGTTTGGAATAGAGCTTAAGGGGTTGCAAGGGTTCCTAAGGGGTTGTAGGGTTGAGGGGCTGTTTCGGGCGTTTAAGAGCTTAAGGGGCTACTGGGTTTTAGGGGATGAGGGGTTTTAGGGGCTGCCTATGGGGCTGGTTACAGCTTTTAAGAGCTTAAGGGGTTTTAGGGTTGAGGGGTTGAGGGCTTTAGGGGCTATTTCTGGGGCTGTTTAAGGCTTTTAGGAACTTAAGGTGTTTTAGAGTTAGAAGGGTTTAGGGTTTCGGGGTTTAGGCTTACCCCAACCCTGCTAACGCCTGCTGGCCTGCCCTCAGACCGCAAAACCCAGCGATGTAAAAAGGGATAGGATTCAGAGTCTTTAGGGTGTAGGTTTCATGGGGTTTTGGGTTGTTTGGTGCTGTTCTTTCTTTTTCGGTGCTAAACCCCTAAAGCCTCTAAAGCCTTTGGAGCCCTAAATCCTCAACCCCTAACAGCCTAAACCCCCCTGAAAAACCCTAAGCCTTTGGAGCTTGCGGCCTTGGGAGTTTGTCTTTTAGAGTTTGGGATTTTGGGAGTTTGGGTTTTGGGGGTTTGGAATGTAGTATGCTCTAAGGCATACGTAGTTCCCTGCCTATACAAGGTGCTACGCCACTCTAAACCCAAAACCGCCCTAATCCCTAAACCCTAAACCCTAAACCCTAAACCCTAAGCCCTAAATTCAACCCCAATAAAACCGTCTAAACCCTACTAAACCTCAAAGCGCAATGCGCAGTGGGGGCGGGGGTGCGGGGTGGCCTGCTGCGGTATCAGCGGCGTGTTCCCCAGCGGGATACCTCAGTTTTTTCAGCAGACACCTGAACCTTAAGGGCTCAGGGTCTGGGGTTTAGGGTTCGAGTTTAGGGTTTAGGGTTTAGGGTTTAGGGTTTAGGGTTTAGGGCTTAGGGCTTAGGGTTTAGGGTTTAGGGTTTAGGGTTTAGGGTTTAGGGTTTAGGGTTTAGGGTTTAGGGTTTTAGGGTTTAGGGTTTAAGGTTTAGGGTTTGGACTAAGGGCTAATGTTTCAATGCTCAGGGCCATACATCAAGGGGGGTTTTCGGGTTTCAGGGTTTTGGGCTTTCGGGTTTTAGGGGTCCATGGGGTTTAGGGCAGGCAAGAACGCCCTCCCCGACAAGATGCTGCATCGGTAGACGTGGCCTTCGACCGTGCGTGGGGCATCACAGGTGACTCCTTCCCATGCAGGTTGTGTGGGTTTTGGGGTCTAGTGTCATGCCCGGTCAGACCCTAAATCCCAAACCCTACAATACAACCTCAAAGTCCTAATTGCTAAACCCCAAACTTCCCTAAACCCTGCAACTCTGCAATCCTACAAGCCTAAACCCGAAGAGCCTAGCCCTGCGCTCCTCGCTTGCCGTAGGACCACTCGTTGCTGTATACTTCGACTCCTGCGTGAAAAGCTCCTCCCAGCGACACCTGCTCGGATCACAAAGACAGGCTCCACCAGAAAGGGTACCCGTTTTGGCTTAAAGGGTTTATATGGGAACCCACTCTGGATCCTAGGCAAAGGATGGGAGTAAGGCTCAACAAGCCCAGGGTAAGGGCACGGGGACCTCGGTGGTTAGGGACCTAGGGACGTTGGCATTGTAGACGTTGCCTGGTAACCAAGTCAAAGTCCTACAAACCCTCAACCCTAAACCCTCAAACCCCTACACCCTAAGCCCCTGAACCCTCAACCCTAAAGCCTCAAACCCCTAACGCCTAAACCCCCAACCCCGAAACCCTTGAGGAGCCCCTAAGCCCCTAATCCCCTCAACCCTGAAGGAACCCCAAAAGGCCGCGAAGCGCGCATTTAAACCCTAAACCCCAAACCCGAAACCCCAAACCCTAAACCCCAAACCCTAAACCCTAAACCCCAAAACCTAAACCCTAAACCCCAGACCCCAAACCCTAAACCCTAAACCCCAAACCCCAAACCCTAAACCCTGGTGCCTTTGTGACGAGGAAGTTCATGCCTCCATTGGCATTTGTGAAGCCCTCGAGGTCGTAGACCTGCACCGGATAGGCTTTTGGGTTAGGGTTTAGGGTTTAGGGTTTAGGGTTTAGGGTTTAGGGTTTAGGGTTTAGGGTTTAGGGTTTAGGGTTTAGGGTTTAGGGTTTAGGGTTTAGAGTTTAGGGTTTAGCGTTTAGCGTTTAGGGTTTAGGGTTTAGGGTTTAGGGTTTAGGGTTTAGGGTTTAGGGTAGTACAAAAATTGAACTTTTAACTGCCTTATTAAGAAACGCAATAAACCCAAAAAGGCTCAGGATCTAAAGTTATAGTAAAGCACCACAAAGCACCGGATAGGCTTTTTTGGGCTGGCACAGATGGGTCGTTAGGGTTTAGGGCTGAGGGGTTTAGGGGTTTAGGGTTTAGGGGTTTAGGGTGTAGGGGTTTAGGGTTTAGGGTTTAGGGTTTAGGGGTTTCGGATTTTGGGGTTTAGGGGCTTAGGGTTCGGGCTTGGGGCTTGGTACCCTCCTCAACAGTGATGATCAGCCAGGGCGCGTGCAGTAGCACCGTCTTGGGCAGGATCTGATCGCCATCCCAGTCGCTAGTACAGGGTCGCCTCAGGAAGGGACCCTAAACACGAAACCCTAAACTCTAAACCCAAATAAACCCCAATTGCAATATATAAACCCTAAACCCTAAACCAAAAACCCTAACCCTAAACCATAAACCCTAAGCCCACACACCCACAGACCGACAATGCAGCGGTGGCTCTTCAGAACGGGCTCCTCCTCGTGAGGCATGCGTGGTTGAGAGACCTCGGTGCGGTTTCTCGGACGCTTCAACCACAAGGCCGAAAAACCTAAAGTGTCTTAGCAATTAAGGTTTAGGGTTTAAGGTTTAGGGTTTAGGATTTAGGGTTTAGGGTTTAAACCCTAAACCCTAAACCCTAAACCTTAAACCCTAAACCCTAAACCCTAAGCCTACATACCCCTACAGGCGAACAGAAAGCTCACTTCCAGGCCTTGTGACAAGGCCCAAGGCTGAGGGCTTAGGGTTCAGGGCTTAGGCTTTAGGGTTTAGGGTTCAGGGTTTAGGGTTTAGGGTTTAAGGTTTAGGGTTGAGGGCTTAGGGTTCAGGGCTGTGGGTTAGGGTGAAACCATTCCGAGGACCTAATCAGCTCAGGCTTCAGGGCTTAGTGTTTGGGGCTGAGGGTTTTGGATTTTGGGGAACCCTAAACCCTAAACCCTAAACCCTAAACCCTAAACCCTAAACCCCTGCAGGCCTGCAAGAACAGCTGTTGGTGGTTCAACCCCGCCAGCGCATCGACGTCGATCTCCTGAGTTGCTGGGTTCAGAGTGCACAGGCTTCTACTGGGTTTAGGGTTTAGGGTTTAGGGTTTAGGGTTTAGGGTTTAGTGTTTAGGGTTTAGGGCTTAGGTACTTGTTGAAAACGAAGGGGGAAGCAGCGGCTTTTGGTCAAGAAGGCTGAGAATTTGTGATTCGAACGATCTCGTTCTCAACTCGGTGCCGGCAACGCTCGTATGCTTAGGGAAGCTTACCTAAACCCTAAACCCGAAACCCGAAACCCTAAACCCTAAACCCTAAACCCGAAGCCCTAAACCCTAAACCCTAAACCCTAAACCCTAAACCCTAAACCCTAAACCCTAAACCCTAAACCCTAAACCCTAAACCCTAAACCCTAAACCCTAAACCCTCACCCTACAAGCCACAAACCCAGCACATCCCCCCTTTCCTCGTCAGTAGCGGAGTCGTCATCGTCATCCTCATACACGTCCTGGTGGTCTGCGGGTTTGGGACTTAAGGGCTTCAGGGATTAGGGTTTAGGGGTTTAGGGGTTTAGGGGTTTAGGGTTTAGGGTTTAGGGTTTAGGGTTTAGGGTTTAGGGTTTCGGGGTTTCGGGGTTTCGGGGTTTCGGGGTTTCGGGGTTTCGGGGTTGGGGGTTGGGGTTTGGGGTTTGGGGTTTGGGTTTAGGGATGGGGGGCAGGTTTCGAGGTTTAGAGTTCTGAGTTACAGGGTTACAGGGTTCTAGGGTTGTAGGGGTTCTCGTTGAGTCGGGGTTTCAAGGCTTCTGCAGATATGGCTGGCACCTTGTGGGGCGTCAAGAACCTAAATCCCTAAAGCCCTTGCACAAGAAATCAGCTCAGTCCCACTAGACACACCTCCAAGCCCTAGACCCTAAACCCTTCAAACCCCTAACCCACGTAAACCTGAAGCCGCGGAGGCAAAGGAGGAGGGGCAGGGGGGGGGGGGGGGGGTTGTGGTGTACACAGGCTCCTGGCGCACCGCCACGCGGCCGTGTGAGTGCCCCATGGGCTCAAAGACGTGGTCGTGACTCTAAAGATGGACACACAAACCCCTACATATCCTTAAACCTACGTGTCCCAAAGTTAGCGTATATGGGAGGCTTCCCAAAACTTAGGGTCGCTCTTTGGGCTCGGAGCATCATATGGAGCCGTATATATATATATATATATATATATATAAGGACCCCAAGATGAGCCCATAAAATCACGCATGGAAGGTCCGGATAGGGTCTTGTCATTTTCCTTGAATAAGGAGTATTTACTGGGGGCTGCCGGGTCATTTTTAACACGACAGCCCTGAGAACCCTAAGACCTTCACCAAAAAACCTGACATATCGACATGGCACACTTGCTCGCCCACATTCGCCTTGAGTACTGGGAGGGCGGCCGGGCATTGGTGGCCCTAGTGGCAGACACTTCACATGTGCCTGTGCTTGCGGGTAGCGCATCCGGGCTATGCTTAGGGTAAATAGCAATATCGTAAACCTTCATACTAGTATTTTTTAACCGTTTCTCAACCTACTAAGTTCAAACCCTTCAGGGTTTTAAGGGTTGAGGGATGTTGGGGGGGGGGCTTCTTTTCTCGGATGCTTCCAACCTTGCACACCATTCTTCCAGAGCCGTAGCAATGCAACTCTCCAGCACATCGGCGTTGGCCGAGCCACTGATGCACACACTCTTCCTTCGCAGGCTCTGCTGGCATTGGCACACAGAGAAGACAGTGGGGTCCCATATAGAAGGAAGCGACCCTAATTTCAAGAACCCCCCCAAGTCATGAAGAAGGCCGACACGCGCCCTAAGGGAGTGGTTCTCCTAAACGCGCCTGAGCCTGTAAGCCACTTCCTAAGTTACCTGAGTCCCACTGAGCCAGCCGGTTGAACCTGCGAGGAACAGGTGCACGCATCGTTCGCAGAGGGGGCCTCTACATCTTCTGTGCAGTAGACCCCTTCCCTGCTGAACTTGACACGCGCACGCCCACGGGATAGGAGGAGTCCATAAGGATCCCACACATGCCGCAAACTCGCACTGGTTGGGTCTCACCTTGGCAGGCCACCCCTTCTTCAGGATGATAGTCGGTTCCTCAGCTGCTGATCTCCTAAGGCCCCCCCCTTAAAGAAAGGTGCACACTTTCAGTTCTCTAGGGGGATTCTACGGCATCCCTTAAAGAGTGTATAACGCGCACTCAGTCAGCTGCCGAAGGCTCCGCAGTAGGCCCCCGAAGGCCCGGGGCCATCCTCGAAGCGGAGCACCCGGATGTGCCCCTCCTCACCCCACCCAGGCCCCCAGCTGTTCCGAATCAGGAAGTACTTCCCCTTGGGAGACTGCCCGTAGCCCACAGCCACGACCTATAGCTCATGGTTGGGAGAGTATTAAAACAACTTAACATGTGTATTCCTTTATGGAGCTTCTAAGTATCCTTTAAACAGGAAAAATGTTACCCCACTATGACAAAGGGACGGCATGGTTCACCCTGGCATCCTTGCTGCACCCGTCGAAGATGCCGGAGCCATAGGTATCCCAGCTGGTCGCGTCCACCGACACCACGACCGGGCCCTGCATGGCAATGGCCTCGAAGGTTTTGACGAAAATTCTTCCGGGACCCCCTGGTATAGACCCCCAAAATAGGATTCCCTCATCGTCAGGGGCCCAGTAAGGTACCCCAAACCCTATAAACCCTATAAACCCTATAACCCTACACCCCAAACCCTAAACCCTCAACCACCCTAAACCCCTTTCGGAACCCCCCGGCCTGGAGGAGCGGCTGCGCCAGGTTTGGGGTGACGCGCACGAAGCCCTCCGTGGTGATCCGGGCTCCCGGGTGCGACCCACAGGCCTCCGAGGCCGAGCCGACCCAGGCGCCCATGGCGCCTCCGCGCGAGCCCTAAAGCCCTAGAAGCCCTATAAGCCCTATAAGCCCTATTAAGCCCTATTAAGCCCTATAAGCCCTATAAGCCCTATAAGCCCTATAAGCCCTAATAAGCCCTAATAAGCCCTTTAAGCCCTAAGCCCTAACCCCTAAACCCTAAGCCCTAAGCCCTAAACCCTCTAACCTAACCCTTGTACCAAACCCTAAGCCCTAAACCCCAAGCCCACGATGCGCCTGCATCTTCGGCGTACAGGCGCACGCCCACGTCCTTGGCGTACTGGAAGGCAAGCTCGGCGGTTGCCCCGGAGCATCCCCCGTCTCCCCCACAGTGCTGCAAGTTCGGCGTGCAGCTCACGAGATCCTGGCATCTGCAGTAGCCCTAAACCCTAAACCCTAAACCCTGAACCTCAAACCCTGAACCCCAAAACCGACAAGATCTAGGGTTCAGTTGTGGGGTACTAGGGTTTCGGCAATTCAGGGGGTGGCGTTTCCGGGTTATGGGTTCAGGTCGCGCGGTGTGTTAGGGTTTCGGGCCGTTTTGGGGGAGTTGGTGGGCCTCAGAGGTTTTGGGTTCACGTTACTGGGTTTCCAGGAACCGAAACCATATTAGGGTCTAGGGTTTAGGGTTTAGGGTTTAGCGCCTAGGGCTTCGGGTTTAGGGTTTATCGTGTTGAATTAGGAATGAGCTTTCAATCCGCTTAAGGTGTAGGGTTTCGAGTTTAGGGCTTAGGGTTCAGTGTTTAGCGCTTCGGGATCCCCCTAAACCCTAAACCCTAAACCCTAAACCCTGCCCTGAACCCTAAACCCTAAACCCTAAATCTCCTGGTAGTCAACGCCTTCGTGGCCGAGGCCATTCAACTCCGCGTGCATCTCAAGCGCGTTGGCCGACGCAATGGCCCAGCAGGAGCCGCATGTGCCCTGGATCTGAGGTTTTAGGGTTTAGGGTTTAGGGTTCAGGGTTCAGGGTTCAGGGTTCAGGGTTTAGGGTTTAGGGTTACATGGTCCCTTTAGTAACGGGCCCCTAAAAGGGGACCCCTTTTGGAGTGTCGCAAATGGGGCCCCTCACATGGGGGCTTACGGGCACCTGCTTCCCAAGAGCTGCTGCTGAACCCATGAGCATGAAGGCTACTCTAACTCGAAGTCTGCAGCTGCTGCTTGCAGCCGTTGTCATGCTTCCTGAAATTGCAATGCGCACTTGCGCGTGGCACGGCGAGCAAACATGCACAAATGCAGAACTCACGCAAACGACGGCAATTGTGGGCAATTGTGGCATTTTGCGCGCCGCAGATCACCACGATTGTGCACAATTGTGCGCTTCTGCAACTGCTGCGCAATGTTCGCTGCAACGATATGCGCGCGCGCGCGCGCGTTCCGCATCATCTTCGCAACAGTTTTCGGAAAGGGTTCCAAGCGCAAGTAAAGACCTCATCGCCCAAATTAAAATGAGATTCCGCAGTCGACAAGCACTGTGAAAAGGCACAATTGTTCACAATTGACGTCAAATGAACCGTTTCAGGCTCATCATACCTTACGCCTCCATGACAGCGCCCCCATTCGCGACTCTCTGACCCTTATATACCCCCTTATACACCCTAAAGGGACCAGACTTCAGAGAACGGCCCACAAGCTTGTTTTAGGGTTCAGGGTTCAGGGGTTCAGGGTTCAGGGTTTAGGGTTTAGGGTTTAGGGTTCAGGGTTTGGGGTTTGGGGGTTTGGAGCTTAGGGTTTACCAGGCCTGGGTGCGAACGAAGTTCGAAGCGGGCGTGTGCTGCCGCCAGTCAACATCCTGGCGGGGGCGGACCCCTTCACCCCGAAGCCCCGTGAACCCTGACACCGCTAAGCCCCTTTTTGGGCTTAGGGTTTTAGTGTTTGGGGTTTAGGGTTCAGGGTTTAGGGTTTAGAGTTTAGGGTTTAGGGTTCAGGGTTCAGGGTTCAGGGTTCAGGGTTCAGGGTTCAGGCTTCAGGCTTCAGGGTTCAGGGTTCAGGGTTCAGGGTTCAGGGTTCAGGGTTTAGGGTTTAGGGTTTAGGGTTTAGGGTTTAGGGTTTAGAGTTTAGGGTTTAGGGTTTAGGGTTTAGGGTTTAGGGTTTAGGGTTTAGGGTTTAGGGTTTAGGGTTTAGGGTTTAGGGTTTAGGGTTTATGGTTTAGGGTTTAGGGTTTAGGGTTTAGGGTTTAGGGTTTAGGGTTTAGGGTTTAGGGTTTAGGGTTTAGGGTTTAGGGTTTAGGGTTTAGGGTTTAGGGTTTAGGGTTTAGGGTTTAGGGTTTAGGGTTTAGGGTTTAGGGGCCTCACCCTAGCAACCGCCTGAGCCCCGAGGTTTCGGGTTCAGGGTTCAGGGCTTGGGCAACGCTGTTACCCCGCTCAGGCCCGAGGGTTTGCCCGACACGCCATATTCCTTAAACCGAGAGCCCCATGAGCCTCCACGCATATGTATATATATATATATATAGATAGATATTTTCTGTATTTATTTATTTATTTTTATACAGAAACAAACAAACCATATAAACCATTTAAATACCGTAAACCAAGGGGGAAAAAACTCTAACCCCTCAACCCCAAACCCGAAACCCCAAACCCTAAACCTCAAACCCTAAACCCTAAACCCTAAACCCTAAACCCTAAACCCTAAACCCTAAACCCTAAACCCTAAACCCTAAACCCCATGCCTGTGGCAGGGCCAGGTTCTGAGGCATAGTCTGAACGTGGAGGAAGCCCAGGGCCTGGAAGAGCATTTCTGAGCCTAGCCCTAAACCCTAAACCCTAAACCCTAAACCCTAAACCCCACCCGGGCAGAGTTGTGGGGCCTTAGTCCAGGACACAGTAAAAAAAACGTGAGCCCTAAGCATAGGGAGGACTCGGGCTGTAAATCTTGAAAGAACGTGCAGAAATGCGACAACTTGCGCGAACAAACGACTGTTTCCCGCTGCAGTTCTTGCAGCTGCGATGGGTGATGAGCTTGAACTCTTCAAGCCCGTTGGGTTTAGGGTTGAGGGTTCAAGGGTTTAGGGTTTGGGGTTTAGGGTTTTGGGTTCAAGGGTTTAGTTAGGGTACTTGCAAATCTGTCACTGAAGGCCCAAAAGAACTCTCAAACGAAACCCTGCCAACTGCCCAGTGTGAAGACCCAACAGCAACCTAGGACTAACAAGGGCGCCGCTTTTGGGCTTAAAGCGGCTGCTAGAAGGGAACCTAGACCCTAAACCCTAAACCCTAAACCAAAAAAAATGGGCACAAGGACCTATGCTCTGGGTCGTGGGTGTGCAAAGCAAGGCGAGTCCTCTAACAGAAAGCGGTTGAGCAGAGGTAGGGGGTTTAGGGTCAAGCTCAAAGCTCTGACTGGGAATCTCATAAACCCCAAACCCCAAGACCCTAGACCCTTACCCCTAAACCCTAAACCCTAAAGCCTAAACCCTAAAGCCTAAACCCGAAACCCTAAACCCCAAACCCTAAACCCTTAGCCCTAAACCCTAAACCCTAAACCCTAAACCCTAAACCCTAAACCCTAAACCCTCCTCGGGCTCAGTCACCCTGGTGCTTTGGTAGTTGAGGGCTTGGGTTGAAAAAACATCAAACCCTAAACCCTAAACCCTAAACCCTGCACCTTGTGCGCAGGCGCACGCGTCGTTGGCTGGTAGCCCGTCAAGGTCTTCATTTCCGCATCGGTCGCGTCGAACAAGTGGCCTCGGTACTCCGGACACTTCACCTGGAACACCGAGCAAGAAAGCGTGAACCCTATTCCTTAAGCCCAACACGCTAAGCCTTAAATCTGGAACCCTGAATCCTGAGCCCTAAACATTTGTGCAGTCGAGCATGCCGTACTGTCCCTACCCTGAAACCTGAACCCTGAACCCTAAACCAGCAAACGCCTGTATAAAGGTGCAGTTCCTGCATTTGCAGGGAGGGGGAAGGGAGGTGAAGCGGTAGTCCTACACCCTTACCCGTACACCATGAACCCCAAACCCTAAACCTAGACCCTAAACCCTAAACCCTAAACCCTAACCCTAAACCCTAAACCCTAAACCCTAAACCCTAAACCCTAAACCCTAAACCCTAAACCCTAAACCCTAAACCCTAAACCCTAAACCCTAAACCCTAAACCCTAAACCCTAAACCCTAAACCCTACACAGAAGGTCTGGGGCGGGCGCTGGCCGGGCGAACCAAAGGGCCGAAGGGTTTTGGTTCTGCCTGGAGGCCAGGGCGTGCCTGAAAGGGCGTAGGGTTTAGGGGTTTGTTTAGGGTTTAGGGTTTTTAGGGTTTAGGTTTTTAGGGTTTAGGGTTTTTAGGGTTCAGGGTTTAGGGTTTAGGGTTTAGGGTTTAGGTTTAGGGTTAGGGTTAGGGTTTAGGGTTTAGGGCTTAGGGTATAGGGTTTAGGGTTTAGGGTTTGGGGTTTGGGATTTAGGATTTCGGGGGTAGGGGGATTTCAGATATAGGGTTTAGGGTTTGTAGGGTTAGAGTTCAGACTCGTGAGGTTCAGGCGGCATACCTTAAGAGTTTAGGTTTAGGGTTTAGGCTTTAGGGTCTAGGGGGGTTTTTTGCAGGTCGAGGGTTAGGTGTCTGACGGGTTTCTTGAAAGAGCCTTGTAGGGCTCTTGGCAACAGTCAAAGTAAGACAGGGCAGGGTTTGAAGGCTTCTTGACGTAGGCAAGCAACCCTACACCCCAAACCCCATAAAACCTGCCACTGCAAGTTGTTTTGGGCGCAAGTGGTTTTGGCCTGGCTGCTGGGGTGGGGGCGGGGGGTGGGGGTGGGGCGGGGGGGGTGGGGGGGTGCGGGGGGGTGTGGGGGGGCTGCGGGGGGGGTGGGGGGGGGGGGGGGGGGGGGGGGGGGGGGGGGGGGGGGGGGGGGGGGGGGGGGCGCGAGGGGGAAGTGGGACGCGCCCGCCCCCCCACCCGCCCTAATCGAGGAGAGGGGGAGGGTTCCCTCCCTCAAAACCATCCAACACGCCGAACTCTTTAAAACTCTAAACCCCTAAGCCCTAAACCCCGAAACCCCTACACCCTAAACCCCAAACCCCAAACCCTGTGCACCCAAAAGCCCTAAACCCCAAACCCCAAGCCCTAAACCCCCCTAAACCCCAAACCCCTACACCCCAAACCCCTAACCCTAAACCCTACACCCCAAACCCCTAAACCCCAAACCCCTAAACCCTAAACCCTAAACCCCAAAACCCCAAACCCTAAACCCCAAACCTCGCCTTCGCCAGAAGGCCGCCTCCCGGAGGCGCCACAACTCCGGGCCTTCCTTCCGGCGCCTTGAAAACCCCAAAAGTGCACTTTGAGGTTTAGGGTTTAGGGTTCAGGGTTTAGGGTTTAGGGTTTGGGGATTGGGGTTTGGGGCTTAGGGTTCAGGGTTGAAAGTTTAGGGTTTAGGGTTTAGGGTTTAGGGTTTCGGGTTTGGGGATTGGGGATTGGGGATTGGGGTTTGGGGTTTGGGGTTTAGGGTTCAGGGTTGAGGAGTTTAGGGTTTAGGGTTCAGGGTTTAGGGTTTGGGGTGTAGGGTTTAGGGTTTAGGGTTTAGGGTTTAGGGTTTAGGGTTTAGGGTTCATAAGGGGCTCAAAATGTGTGGGCTTAGGCCCGCTCTTGAATTGGAGGAAGGGGGGGGACAGCGCTTGTGGGATCTTCGGGTCTTGGGGTGTAGGGTGTGTGGCCTCGTTTTCTTGGTTTCATCCATAGACCCTCTAGAACCCCCCTAGACCCCTTAACTCAAACCCTAAACCCTAAACCCTAAACCCTAAACCCTAAACCCTAAACCCTAAACCCTAAACCCTAAACCCTAAACCCTAAACCCTAAACCCTAAACCCTAAACCCTAAACCCTGAACCCTCCCTAAGCCCCACTACCTCTTACACGCAGCGCCACCTCTCCATGAGTCCAAAGGCCTGGAGGAAGGATGTGTAGTTCCTGAGCCAGGGAGTCGCACAGGGCCGGTGAAGGGTCGCTCTTCCCCGTTAGGTCTCCCTAAACCCTCAACCCTCAACCCTAAACCCTAAACCCTAAACCCTAAACCCTAAACCCTAACCCTCAACTCTAAACCCTAACCCTAAACCCTCAACCCTAAACCCTAAACCTTAGACCCTAACATGCTGGCCCTAAGGAGCCTGAAGCCTCAGCAGCCTAAGCCCTAAGCCCTAAGCCCTAAGCCCTAAGCCCTAAGCCCTAAGCCCTAAGCCAAGCCCTAAGCCCAAAGCCCGAACTTGGGGGCGGCGGCGGGGGCGGGGGGTCTCAACGTGGAGTTTAGGGTTTAGGGTTTAGGGTTTAGGGTTTAGGGTTTAGGGTTTAGGGTTTAGGGTTTAGGGTTTAGGGTTTAGGGTTTAGGGTTTAGGGTTTAGGGTTTAGGGTTAAGGTTTAGGGTTTAGGGTTTAGGGGTTAGGGTTTAGGGTTTAGGGTTTAGGGTTTAGGGTTTAGGGTTTAGGGTTTAGGGTTTAGGGTTTAGGGTTTAGGGTTTAGGGTTTAGGGTTTAGGGCCGAGTGCTTTGCAGCATCTGCGGCAAGTCCGCAGCAGCTTTGGTCGCCAGGCGCACGGCCTGATCCCGGTTATCAGTGATTTCGGGAAAATACCCAAACAGACCAATTCCCCTTAATTAAGGAATAGGTTATTGAGGGTTTAGGGTTAATTTATAAAGGGATCCTTAATGTGATTTAAGGGTTCGTTAACTAATGAGTATTGGGCTCTTTGGGTACAATATGCCATACGCTATATCTTTATATTGTAGATACTGTCCTTGTAATATGCTGTTGTCGAATCTTTTGTATTACGTTAGACTACATATAACATATATATATATATATACATATAATACTCTTCATTATATATTGTGTCTTATAAGTTACACGTTATGTATTCTGCTTTGTGTTGAGTTGTCTACTATATGGGGCTGGGAGTTAAAGTTTTTGGGGGCTTAGGATCCTAGATTTCGCATCTGGGGGTGTGGGAGTTGACTTCTTTCTTAGGTTCAGGAGGCTTGGGACCCTGAATCCCCGAAGGCCTGGGTTTTGGGTTTAGGGTTTAGGGTTTACGGAGTTTTGAAATTCAAGAGCTGCAGGCGTTTCGGCAGTTTGGGCCTTGGTCCAGGGCTTAGGGCTTAGGGCTGAGGGTTTCGGGTTCATGGCGTTTGTTGCCCTACGCATCCCCATCCCTATAAGTCGTAAACCCTAAAAACCGGAAAAACAAAAAAAAACTAACAAACGAACACAACCATAGAAGTGCATGCTCTCGGGGTCTTCCTTTCAGGGTTCAGGGCTTCGTACCCCTCACCCCAAACCCCAAACCCTAAACCCGGAACCCTCAATAACCTTTCGACCAAAGGAACCTGCAGCTGAGAGAGCTGAGCCAGCACCAGCAGCACCAACATGCGCAGAAAGCACCTGAAGCAAGGAGGGGTTTAGGGTTTAGTGTTTAGGGTTTAGGGTTTAGGGTTTAGGGTTTAGGGTTGAGGGTTTAGGATTTAGGGTTTGGGGTTTAGGGCTTAGGGTTTAGATATCTACTGCAGACCAGGAGCATTGACGGCATTGCGCAGCAAAGTCGCGTCTTTCAATCTCACGGCGAACTCGCAGCTGCACTAGCAATGTCGAGAGGAATGTCTGCAGCAGGCATTTTCCTAAGCCGCATCCCCTAAGCCGATGAAGCCCCGAAGGCCTCCAAGTAGGAGATCCTAAACGACTACACAGGGCACACCAAACCCGAAGCCACAAATCCTAAACCAAAAGTCCCTAAACCCCCTGAGCCAAGCCCTAACCCTAAACCCTAAACCCAAACCCTAAACCCTAAACCCCAAACCCTAAACCCTAAACCCTAAACCCTAAACCCAAACCCTAAACCCTAAACCCTAAACCCTAAACCCCAAACCCTAAACCCTAAACCCTAAACCCTAAACCCTAAACCCTAAACCCTAAACCCTAAACCCTAAACCCTAAACCCTAAACCCTAAACCCTAAACCCTAAACCCTAAACCCTAAACCCTAACCCTAAACCCTTAAACCAACCCTTTTTCCATGAGCGCTGCCTAGAGGCGACGGGTCAGGGCTCTTGGTGGCTACTGTGGCGGCAGGGTTTAGGTTTAGGGTTTAGGGTTTTGGGTTTAGGGTTTTAGGGTTTTAGGGTTTAGGGTTTAGGGTTTAGGGTTTAGGGTTTTAGGGTTTTTAGGGTTAGGGTTTAGGGTTTAGGGTTTAGGGTTTAGGGTTTAGGGTTTAGGGTTTAGGGTTTAGGGTTTAGGGTTTAGGGTTTAGGGTTTAGGGTTTTAGGGCGACCAGGGCATAGGTTTTTTTTGCCCTGGGTCTTTACGGTTTATAGGGCTTGACGTAAGTAAAGGGTTTTAGGAATTCATAGGGTTTTAGAAACGGAACTATTGGGTTTAGAGAAATTGCAGGGCTTTAACCGGTTTCGAGGGTTTGTAGGGCCTCGGGGGGCTGCGGGCTTTTCAAGCCACGAGCCCCCTCAATCCCCCCCGAACCTCCTAAGGCCCTAAACCCTAAAACTCCTACATGCCTAAATCCCTAAGCTTTCTACTCCTGAGTTCCTAACAACCCAAGCCCGATGATTCCGAACTCCTAGATCCCTAACCGCCCCCCCATAACCCCATAAACCCCTAAACTGAAATACCTCCCTAAAGCCCCAAACAATCTCAGCCCTCCGGTCTGTTCGTTATCTGCTCCACTCCTCCTCAGGAGGAGTGGGGGGTCCTTTGGTTCAGACGTCTCGCTTGCCCAAACCTAAGCTGGACCGGGGCAGGGGCAGGGGGGGCGGGGGGATGAGGTTTAAGGAGATACTCGACACTCCTATAACCCCCCCCCAACCCTGTTGCCCGATTACCTTACAACCCTATGACCCTATACCCCTTACGACCCTATTAAACTACTACCCTAAACGGCCCCAAACAAACCTTTCACACAAACCCTACAAACCCGACAAACCCTACAAACCCGACCAGCCCTACCAGTATAACCCTCAATCAGGGGCCAAAAGGGAAGGCTCGCCTGCTTCAGGTTGGGGACTCTTTTTAGGGTTGTTGGGGTCTCACGCTTTTGGCTTTCCAATGTGCTTTCGGGTTTTAGGTTTTCGGGCTTAGGGTTCTAGGGCTTTAGGGTATTGAGGTTTAGAGTGCAGGAACCCCAAGCCTAAACCCTAAATCCTAAACCCGAAGCCCTACGCCCCAAACCGCTTAGGGCTCCCGTTGCCAATCTCTTTTGGGAACTCCAAGGTGAAGAAGGCAAAACCCAAACCCGAAACGGGGCGTAGGGTTCAGTAGTTTAAGGGACAACCCTGAGCCCTAAGCCCTAAATCGCTGCCCCTCGGAGCCATTTCAGCCACTCCCAAAGCCACAACACCCTCAACCCTGAACCCTTAAAGACCCTGTCCTCCCAAA